CATTACAGCTCACAGCAACCTCCAACTCCTGGGCTCCAGCGAGTCTCCTGCCTCCGCCTCCCAAGTAGCTGGGACCACAGGCGCCTGCCACAACGCCTGGCTATTTTTGGTTGCAGCTGTCATTGTTGTTTGGTGGGCCTGGGCTGGATTCGAACCTGCCACCTTAGGTGTATGTGGCTGGCGGCTTAGCCGGTTGAGCCACAGGCACCGAGCCTACACTTTTTAATTTCTGACGATTACATGATCCCCTCATCTATCTATCTTTTTTTTTTTTTTGAGACAGAGTCTCTCAAACTGTCACCCTGGGTAGAATGCTATGGCATCACAGCTCACAGCAACCTCTAACTCTTAGGCTTAAGTGATTCTCTTGCCTCAGCCTCTCAAGTAGCTTGGACTACAGGCACCCATCATAATGCTTGGTTATTTTTTTTGTTGAAGTTGTCATTGTTTTTTATTTAGCTGGCCTGGGCTGGGTTCAAACCCGCCAACCTCGGTGTATGTGGCTGGCGCCCTACACACTGAGCTAGAGGTACCGCCTATCTATCTTTCTTTTTTTCTCTCTCTTTTATTTCAAGTTAATGTGAGAGTACAAACAACTAGGTCATAATATTTGAATTTTTTAAGTAGAGTCCCTCTTTCAATTGTGTCCCACACCCAAAAGGTGTGCCATACACCCTTACGTTGTGCCCAGTAAGTGGGAGCATACCAATCCCCCCTCCTCCTCATGTTTTTAAAATAAGGAGGGTGGTGGCTTATGCCTATAATCCCAGCACTCTGGGAGTCTAAGGTGGGTGGATTGCTTGAGCTCAGGAGTTCCAGACCAGCCTAAGCAAGAGCAAGATCCCATCTCTACTAAAAATAGAAAAATTAGCCAGGTGTAGCGGCAGGTGCCTATAGCCCCAGCTACCCAGGAGGCTGAGGCAAGATGATCTCTTGAGCCCAAGAGTTTGAGATTGCTGTGAGCAATGGCACCAGTGCACTCTAGCCTGGGGCAACAGAATGAGATTCTGTCTCAAAAAAAAAATTTCTTTTTGCTATGCTCACACAATCAGCAATTTAAATGTTTTAGACATTTTATCAAGTTCTTTTAAAAAATCTATGACTTTGATTAAATTGCTATTGATTTATAAATTAACTGAAATGATACTAAATTAACTGCAAACTGTTTCCTCATTTCTATCATTCCTTTATAATTGATCATTTTTTTCATAGAAGTTGTATATTTATTAAATTAATTCCTTATTATTTAAATTCTTGTTACTATTACAAAAAAAACTTTTTATTTTTCAAATAATCAATATTGGAATATTAAAACACTTTTTAATATTTTACTGATTAGTAAGAACAATTTTTCTTTTTCTTTTTTTTTTTTTTGAGACAGAGCCTCAAGCCATTCCCCTGGGTAGAGTGCTATGGCATCACAGCTCACAGCAACCTCCAACTCCTGGGCTCAAGCGAGTCTCCTGCCTCCACCTCCCAAGTAGCTGGGAC